GGGGAGGGGCTCCACACTGCCCATTGCACGTTGCACATTTCTAGCCTGGGACCCTAGGCAGCTTACCAACTCTGAGACTAACTTTCCTCATTTGTAAGACAGGAGCTAAATCTACCTGCCAAGGAAGCTGCAGGGTGCAGGTGATACCTAGAGAGAGGGGACTTCTGCCCTCCTTACATTTGGAAGGACCCAAGAGCCGATCTAATCATTAGGAAATTTTTGGTGAAAGCCCCTTGCTGAAATTTGCCAAAATAATAAGAAAGGCTTAAGTTCTTGAAACTCCCCAGGTCTTGTAAGGACCGTAGGTTTGTCACAAGGAAGATAAACATTCCTATGTTGTATCCCCATAAAAAAACGATGCTTGCAGCCAGCTCCTGTGACCGAAGTGGGGCAGGGTTAGATGCAAGGAACCCTGGGTGAAACCATAGGATGCCTGTTGTGTGGCTGGGAACCAAGCTTCACAGACTCAGCATGCTGGGGCAGCAGGCTGGAAGGCAGGCTGTCACTGAAGCCCCCAAAGGCCTTCTAGGCTTAGCACTGGAACATTTGGAAATGACTGTTCATTCTGGAGAACCTCCCAACAGCCCAAATTCCCAGCCCAACCCAGCAACAGAAGCACTGATCAATTTGAAGACATCCAATTTCCTGGACTGATCGGAAAGCTGATAAAACCAGGGCAGTGAGTCCAGCAAAGCCATGGGAGCGACAGAGAGCTTGAAGGAGGGACTGATGGTGCACCTGGCTCTTTAATTCGAAGACACCTCCTGGGCCAAAGGGTTAGGCATATGACTCCTCCTTAGACCAAGAACTTTCCCAGCCTAGACACGCACATCTCACCCAAGGTCAGATGGAGTTAGAATGTTAGTAAGCCAATGGTTGTTTCTCCTGTTCACCGTGTCCTAGATAAAAATCTCTGCAACTGAGAAGCAGGTGGAATTAAATTTAGACTTCTACTGTGGCCCGCCCAGCCACAGCCTCCCAGGGGGGAGGAGCAGCTGGCAAAGCTCCCCTGGGATCCACACTAGCTCCTGCCAGTCCGTATCTGATGGGCGATGGATGGATGATGGGCCAGCTTTGCTTCTGACTACCTGCCTTATGGGAAACCACTAATTCAGCATTATGAAATATCCCATCAAGCCCCCACTGGGGTCTCCCAGGTCCTCTCAAGGGACAGTGGGATACAAATAAAATAATACAAGCTAGGCATTTTATGGAATTCATAGACTTGCTTAATCTTTTCACTGGGATGACCTGGATGTGATGGTGTTTGGTCCTGATGAGACGGCTCATTGACCACACCAGGAAACCTTCTCTAGTCTTCTGATGTCTCCCAGTGCCGGTCTCTATTAGTCAAGCTCACGAAAGCTTCCTATAGCCCAGAACATAAACATCTAGACTCTGAGTGTCCTTCCTTGCTTGTCTCTTCTCCCTCTCCCCATATTTCCTATGCTCCTGTCCTGAGGCATCTCTTTGCCCACAGCCTTAGAACTGGGATATTTGGTCCCCTCCTTTTGGTTCATGGTTTCCACTCCTCTCTGACTAAGATAGTCGAGTCTTCTGAGGTTAGAAAAGGCAGGGCTGTGTTTTCTGGGACAATCCTGCCCAGAAGGTGGATGGGAAAGATGACTTATGACTGGCCCTGTCCTAATGCTTTTTCCAGAGTCACCATGGATTCCCTTCGAGCATCGTATACATGTGAGTGATCCCAGTCCACACCTTCTAATGGGTCCAGCGCTACCAAAAATCCTCGGGTTTGTTTTCCGATCCTGACTTCATGATTGTCCTCTACTTGACTTCGCTTTCCCTGGTGTCTGACCTTATTCTTCCCATTAAACATACAAAGTACGTTTGCTTGCTTTCCTCTGGCTCTCCCACATGCACACTTCAGAGAGCAGAGATGTGGAGTGCTCCCGTGAACACATCCCTACCATCCCTGTGACTTCCCTCAACCTGGTACCAAGCAGTCAGTCAACATTGCTTGCAACCTGAAAACTCCCCCAAGGGGCCTCTCTCATCACAGTCAACAGATGGTGTCTCTCACTGGAACCAAATCTGCTGTAGTTCCCACCTGTCCAACTAGGTCATCAGCTGGGGCCAAACCTTCTTGCCTAGACAGGCTCTTCAAATCTCTGCAGGTAACAAACCCAGCTCCCTCCTCCCCAGGCTTCTCCTCAGACCCTCCAGCCTTTCCTTCTTTCATGGCCAGGCTTCTGATGCCCACCACTACTGTCCTGATCACGGCTCACTGAATGGGGTCCTCTCTGTTACTAATCTTGGCATTCAGAGCCCCCAGAGTGGTATCACAACAGAAGAGCCTGAACAACTCCTCTTCCTGATTCTTCTCTTCCTGGTTCCCACAGTCATCACCACGCCCTGTTGACTAATGTGTTCTCACCAACAGCTAAACATTGTCAATCATTTTTATGTTCACTGCTGTCTACCCTACTCTCCCTTGGCTACTGCCTGGGCTCTTCGCTTTTTATTTCAAATACAGAACCCTGCTTGCATGTCCTCCCCCTCTTTCTCCTTTAGGGTAATCCCTCTGCTTACATTTCCCTTCCTTAGCCTATTTCCAAGGCCTGCTACCAAGACAGAATGTCAGGTGTGTCTGGGAATACATTTTACCAATACAGGTTGTGGTCAAAACTGAATGCATCTCATATCTAAATTCTGTCTATATTCCTTTGTTAAATGAAAATGTACATGTGTACCCGCAGACAGACTCTGAAATTCTACATAGGATGCAGTTATGGAGTGGTTTATTCCATTTCAAAAGTTTCTGCATCTTGTTGATCTTAAAGCATCTATTAAAGCCACTCTGGCCCTTGAATGTACCTCAGTTCCCTTGCCTCCTGGTTTACTTCCTCTCCTTATCTTTTAGTCTCCTGTCCAGAAAGCCCTACCTGGCTACCTGCCCACATTTGCTCCTGCTTTAACCCCCAAGCCCTGGACCACTTTCCAGTCTCCAGAAGCCATCTCTACCTTCTAAGAACCCCTGGTATAGTTCCATCATTCCAGTCTGCTTGGGTCCTCAGGGGTCTTGATAATGCCATCAAGCTGGACCAGAGAGATACACACTCTGCTTTCCTTCCCTCTGAACCTTCTTTCCCTCATAATATGTCATCTGTGTTTCAGCAGCTCAAGATTCAGAAGTCTATCCATTCTACATGGCGTCTCACTCCTTATGCCACTGCCTGCTACACAATAATTCACTCCCTTTGATTCCATCCCACAATGAGCCACCGTAAGAGCTACACAAATATCCTGTTGAACAGTTGTGCGGCTTGGCTTTTGAAGGATAAGCAACTTTACAGACTAGTAAGGGTGAGAGTTTAGGGGCCTTTCCGAGATGGTGCGCCACTTGTAAAATGAAAAATAATAAAGGCAATAATCCTTGGGGGCCGTTGATACCACCACAGGGATGTGCTTCCGTTGCAAGCATGAGAACCTGAGTTTTCTCCCAGAATTTAAAAGCCTGGAATAGTGACACACACTTGCAATCTTAGCACCAGGTCAGGCAGAGAAGGGTGGGTGCACAGGGCTCACTGGCCAGCCAACCAACTAGCCTAATTGGTGAGTTACAAGCCAATAAGAGAATCTGTTATCCCCCACACACATACTAAAAAAAGAAAAATAAGGATAAATGGCACCCAAAGACTGAAAGCTAATGTCCTCCGTTTCCACAGGCATGTGCACACAACTGCACATATACCCACATGCTCCTGTGCACTTATGTACCCATACCCACAGGAGAAGAAAAATAATACACCTTAATGTTTCAAATTAAAATCAATTTCAAAGAACTGACAAAATAATAACTCGTCTTCTGACCACACAATATACAGAGATCACAGAGAAATTTATTGTAGAAAAAAAAAAAACAAAAACAGAACTGCCAAGCCCTTCAGAGTTCAGCTTCCCATCAGGAAATGAGGTCACAAGCATTACCCAACAGCCCCTCCACAGAAGTTCTCCCGGACAGAATTATAGACTCAGCGGTCGTAGGGACTAGGCAAGCAAGTGAAAGGGTCTCTGGAACAGGAAGCAAAGGCTTTCTCTCTCTGGTAACTGTTCATTGGCTGCTACTTTCCTCTTCCTGAACCCTCAGCACAGCTCAGGTGTTTTTGATAGAACTGTAAATTAAATTTTAAATTAGGAGACTAAGTCTGACAGGGTGCTCAGAATCAGAGAACAGGGGGACGGAGGAGGTCTGAGAACAAGTCTTGGGTTGTTTGCAAAAACCCTGGCCATTTCCAAATTGGCACAAGGCTGGACTGCCTCTACAACCCAAGTCACCAACTCTCATTCCCCAGACCCAATTGCATGGAGCAGGGCTGCCCCACAGGTGCCCCGTGTTTGAGCACTTCTCAACAGGGAAGGGGCTGGTTCTAAATGCAGGGGACTGTGGAAGAGGAAGGGGCAGAAACAGAACTTGATTGACCACCCTATCCTATTCACACCCACTGCTAAGGACAGTCTCCCTTAAGTCTCCATACCAACTAAAATACCCAATGGGGACTGTTAACCAGTGGATGACACCGGTCAGCACAGGCATGGCCTACAGGTACCGAATCAGAACAACAAACCTACCCTTGCTGTCATGGTGAAAGAGCATGAGCCTACAGAGCAAAGGGCCCCGAAGGCTCTTGGCTCAGACGTCCCCCTCTCTAAGCAAGCTTGCCTTGCAATAATTTCGGTAGGCTGCCTCGGAATGGGTTATTATTTACTGAGCAGCCCAGTTTAGAAACGGGGACCTGGGACTGAGGTTCTTAGTGAAGTTGTTCATCAAGCTCTTTTTCTTCCTTGATGGACAAAGCTCCTGAGGGTCAGGACAGTGGCAAGACCAGCGGAAGGGTGCCTACGTGAGCATGTGTCTGTCTCTTCCTCTCCTAGAGTCTGAGTGTAACCTGGAAACTTGCTGAGACCCATTGGGAAAAGATAGGTGAGGGAGCCCGGGAGGGATTGGGAGAGAAGGCCGTAGACATGCAGTGGCGTGGCTGCTACCCCACCACGTGCCTTCGCGAGCTGTGGGTGGAAGTCTGCAGTATCTGCGTGCGGGAGGAGCCGCCGCCGCTGCTGTATTTGCTGCTGCTTCTGCTGCTGGAGCCGTAGCTCCCTCCGCCGCTGCCTCCACCCCCGCGGGAGCCTGTTCCTCCTCCGTAACTGCTGCTGCTGCCGCCGCCGCCGCCGCCTCCGCGGGAACTGCCACCGTAACTTCCTGAGCCGCCGCCAATGGTCACCTGGCTGCTCTGCACCGCTGTACCAGGGAAGGACAGACACAGAATGGCCCAGGAGAACTCGGCAGGGGGACCCAGCAGCACCAGCCCTGAGCGCCTGCAGCAGGGGGATCAATGGTGCCCTCCCCTTTGCTAACAGATGCACTGGAAGTCAACGGCACACTTCAGAAGGATGTTGGCATTCATTTAACTAAAGTATGCCACCCCTGTTTAGAGACAGGTCCTCTGTACTCAGTTCTTATTGGGTACATATCCTAACGATCTCTAACCGCTGTTGTCAAATATCTCAAGCAAGGAAAGCGGGCCTTGCTCACTTTGGTGTGTGTGTGTGTGTGTGTGTGGTTTTTTTTTTTTTTTTTTTTTTTTTTTT